ACACTTCAGCATTGTGGACTCTCCCAAAGTCAAATTAAATTTCGAAATGGAATTATCTTAGTCATAACTTGTATTAAACAATACTCGTACAAGTGCCAAACCTGGCAGTGGCTATTACAGCTGTTGCAATACCTAAGGCCAAAGTAACATCCACGGGGATTTTTCAGTGATAACCTGTGGAAATGTGCTTTTATATTCCTTCTGTTTCTAACTAAATCATTTTCACAACTCCAAATTTCAGCCATTCCCCAAATGGCTACTAAATGCCGAGAGGCTAAGGGAAAGCCAGAAACAGCTGTGGCAGCATCGCATCAGACCAACTGCTCCTTTTGATGCTTAATGAGTATTTTCCAAAAATGCTAGCTTTCCTTTTATATTTCTAAGCAGAAACCTATAGTGACCCACTCCAACTCCCATCCTCAAGAAAAATAACTTCTCCCCAAATAATTTAAAAAAGAGAGAGAGAGAGACTCTACAATGTGTACAATCATTAGTGAAATTTAGTTCACCTAGCATTTTATGGTCACAAAGCACACATATTATCCCATTTTCCTGTACAATAGTCCCATGAGGACAAATAGTACAGGTATTATCCCCATTTTAAAGAGGAAAAAATTGAAGTACAAAAGTTGAGTTTCCCAAAATTTTAGATCCTGTAAGTCCTGAATTGAGGGCCAGAATCCATGTCTTTCCATTCCCAGAGAGCAGAAAAGTAATCACTGGCTAAAGATGTTTATGAGTTACAAAACTTTCAAAAGTAAGTTAGATGTGAAAATAAAACTGGCAACAACAGAAAGTAAAGTCCATTTCATGGAAGGAGCTGGATGCAATATCTCCTGTGAGAACATACACACATCACTCAGTATTGCAGAAAGAACAGGGCTCTGGAGACCTGACTTCAAGTCCCAGCAAAACTGCACACCAGGCACATGAACTTGAAGGAGGCACTCAACCTCTTCCTTTCAGCTTCAACCTTTGTAAAACTGACTTTCTCTCAGAGTTATGGTAATCAAATGAGAACACACTTCTGTACATTGTAAAGCATTGCACACAGGCTATTTATCATCGTATCTTTATAAAACTTCTTAGCTTAAGAAGTCTTTTCATGACATTTCTGTCACCTCTTTGAGGACATGGACCATGTGTACTGGTCTTTGTATCCCTAGCACCTACCACAAGGTTGGGCATAGAGTATGATTCAGTGCTTGTTTAGAGAACAGTAAATGTGTAAATTTCTATACACGATTCTTCTGTATTGTTGGGAAGTGATTCTACTCCAAGCATTCTACATTACCCTACCAAATTTGGCCAAACCTGGTGGCATCTTATAAAGCACACCTCATTAACTATCATAGGAAAAACCTTTGGCAAAGCATCCATTTCTACTCAGGCACTTCAGCTTCACAATCATTCTTAAATGACTTCCAGATGACTTCTGAACAAACGTTTATGCTATTTGTGAAATATTGCAATAGTCACAGCAGCATCATTTTGGAATGTCAAAATCAACTATGTAACATTTTATAAAGGAAAAACCATGGCTTTTTACCAGGCTTTTGGAAAACAAATTCCCTTGAATGCCTGAAGAATTCCTGAAATAATAAAGACTATTTTGAATTATTCTGTAACATTAACCATCAGCTCTCCTAACTGAATTCATTTCTGAAATGATACTGCCATACAGTATCTAGAGAAGGTGAACTGACTTGGTTGGATGGGCTTCATCACTGCAGTAGCAGACTAAGGAAAGAATGTGACCTAGCTATAAAGAACTGAAAAAAAAAGAAAAAAAAAACCTCATTGCCATTGAGTTGTTTCCAACTCATAGTGACCTCCACTGGGTTTCCGAGGCTGTAAATCTTTACAGAAGTAGATCGCCGAGTCCTCCTTCCACAGAGCGGCCGGTGGGTTAGCCCCACGGACCTTCCGGTTAGCAGTCAATTGCCTTATCCACTAAGCCACCAGAGCTCCACAAAGAACTAGCAGTCATATTTAATTTGGTTCCAATTAAAAGTCGTAGGAGATAGAATTTACAATGTTGACATATGCTTGGTCATTTGAGATTTTAAGAAATCGAAGACACAGAGGAGATTAACCAGGATTGACACCTTCCACATTCCTCTATAAAATCCTTCAGGTATAACCGGCAATGAAAGGCATCAACAAAGGTGGTCTGCACATAAGAGCTCCTTCTAGAACATGGAGTCTCTCCATTTCCTATCTAGTGTCATCATACATCTTACGATGTTATACAATCACAGAACAATCACTTGTCAATGTCCTTTCACCACAGTTACTTCTGTCGAGAGATAATAATCCTAAAACCTCAAAGAAAAATTCTAATAAGCTTAAAGCCTACTTATAAGTGAAATAAAAAGGAACAGGTAAGAATCTTAAAAGTGTAAAATAGAGGATGGGAGCCTCCAAATACATAGGTTGCTGATTTTAAATTTAATTTAAAATTTTTATTACAAAATAGTGTTCACTATAGAAAAAAAAAAAAAAATACAGATAGGCCAAAAGAAAATACAGCATACAGTTAATTTTTTTACTCTGGTGGCATAGTGCCTATGGCATTTGACTGATAACTAGAAGGCTAGTGGTTCAAACCCACCAGCCACTCCTCAGAAGGAAGATTAGAGAATCTACTTCTGTAGAGATACTTCCTTGGAAACCCATGGCAGGGTCGCAATGAGTTGAATCAACTAGACAGCAGTGAGGTTTTTTTTTTTTTTTTAAGTGCTCTTTTTCCCTATAAACTTTTAAAATATTATAATCAATAAAAGAAAAAAAAAATGCAACCATTGCTGTGGAGTCGGATCTGACCCATAGCAACCCCTCCTTGGTTTTCCCAGGCAGTATCACTAAGTAGATTGCCCAACCTTCCTCCCAGGGAGTGGCTGGCAGGTTTGAACCATCAGCCTTCTGGTTAACAGTCAAGTGCCTTAGGCACTATGCTATCAGAGCTCCCTTACAATCAGTATGTGCTAACATTTACATAATGCTCACTTTATTTCAGGCCCTATGCTCAGTATTTAGCATGTATTACTTTATTCTGTATTCACCAGAACACTATAAAACTAAACTAAACCCACTGCCATCAAGTCAATTTCTACTCATGTTGTTGTTGTTGTTATGTGCCGTCGAGTCGGCCCCA